TGTAGGGATGGCACTAAAGAAATGAGGAGCTCTCAAGGAACATTAGCACTGGCTTCCTCAGTGTGTGATTGTCATCTTAGGTTCAACACAGCGTGCATGAGGGCCATTATTGTCATTTAGGTATGTGGACCCACTGGAGGTTAATGCCCTAATAATGTAGTAGGACTCAGAATTACTCCGTCCATGAAAAATACTTTTCATTCAAGCTAGACAAACCGTGGACAGGTTCTACCACGAATGGCTCAAATGAAAACAATGAAAGATTTTTAGGACTGACAAAAGCAGCAGGACAGTGGTATTGTACAAAATTAGAAGAAAGATATCCAGGATAACTGAGCTAGCGCAGCTTGACTTAGCATGAGCCAAAGATCTTGGGTTAAGTGGTTGCACGTAATCTTAGTCTGGCTGTTAACCTGGTCAGGAGCAGGTTAGCTGCAGATAAAAAAACACCATAAATTGACCAGATTATCTTAGCACTGGCTTTAATGCAACCGATTTCAAGCAACATATTCTAGCTTAATCCCTTATCTTGGTTTTGTGGGCACCCCTCTGGTCTGGGAGCCATCTGTTGACAACCATTGGATGTTTGTCAGCCGTTAAATAAAGCCGAGAATATTTGGTAACAACAATGTGGAGTCGTGACTACAGGTTATAGATTAATTTCAGTATATGTACACATTACACATACACAAGAACAGATAATCCTTGGACATCAGAGATATTTTGACCTTTTTATACATTTGTCCTCACAGTGCAACTTCCTAAATCTGACTCTCTGACTTAAATAACAACAACATCAGTTACTTATTCGCCCATTCCATTTATCTTAGAGAATATGTGTTTGCTGTCGATAGTTCTATCTAGTAATGGTAATACTACCTCCACATAAGATGAGACTTTGAGAGGAATTAATTTCTGCGTTTGGTTCATGTAAACAGCAATACGTTACATGTCTGAATCCATGAAGAAATTCACTCCTAGCAGAATAATCATGATGGCTTAAGCCCCCAACACTGTTCTGTGGTATTAAACAAACTAAGTGTAGGGATAACTGATTGTTCCGTCACCAAAACACCAGCCAACAAAGAACCGTACCGGGCTAGAAAAACATAAACAACTATTTACTAGTGTCTACAAGCTAACAATAATCCTCTGACACAAACAGAGGTTTCATCGTCATATAAATACAAAAAACAGGCTGGGATGAGTCCAAAGGATAAATAAGAAGAAATCCCCCATCATTCAGAACAGTAACATTGATCCAAAATACTCCTGCATTTATTGTTACCAAAGTTTCTAAATCAAAGTCTATTCTTCTTTTAAACCTAGCTGACTGCCCTGCTCTCATATAGAACACATACAACATACCTGTCTGGATCTTTACATTTTCTCTTCTATAGAAGTTATCTCCCCTTGTGCGCCGTAGTTCTAAACTCTGTGATTCCTCTGAGTAAAAAGGAGACTCCTTCACCTCCCTCCTCACTCCCTTTCTCTCTTTCTGTCGTCATTGCTTATAAGGAGCTGAGGGGAGGAGATAAATTAAACCGGACTAACCGACAGGATAACAGTTATTCACTGGTTGAACTCCTCTTTCTCTCACTCACATCTAGTTTCAATTTTTCCACTTACACTAGATGTTTATATTAGATAGGATTAATATGTGTGTGTGTGTGTGTGAGTGTAGCAGGAAATAAAAGCCAAAGAAATCTAAATATTTAAAAGATCAACTTGGACAAAGTTTGACTTGACTTGAAAGAATGACAACAAAACTGTGGTTCATTTAAACATACACATGAAAATCAGGATTCGAACATAACGACTACAGAGTCTGAAATCTGTCCTGAGAAAAGAAATTCATGAAAAAAATTAAACATAATACTGTGGCCTGGGGTAAAAGAAAAAACAGAGCAAACATGTTGTCCACAGCATCAGTGCCAAGGTTCGAACAAGGCCGGAAGCTTTGCAAGCCATGCACGGCACGGCAAGCGCAAGTGGGAAAGTAAACACTATAGTATACACGTGCCGTGTTAAGAGCCTGATGTTGTGGGAAAAATGAAGAAACCTATTTTTTTCATAACTGCTTAACCTTATTAAAGTGATCAACTGGTTTCCCCTAAATCCACATCCAGAAAATCACTAATTAATTCGAACACTTCTATTCTATAATTCTATTATTTATTGTTGTTGGCAGCTACAGTATGTTCTCCGTTTATAACAGTTCCTACAGCGCAGAATAGATTCATCTGCAGAACAATCACTTTCTAGAGTTCCCAAAGTGAAGAGTGCAGATGGAGGGGAAGGAGGGCAGCAAGGCAAATGCATTTAACTTTCAATATTTTTATCGTGAGCTCTAAAAGCAGTAGCTCCAAATGTATCAACACTAGGGCCTCGACAATAGTCCTATCTACAAAAAAAAGGGGTAACCCCGGACAACAGTGTAATCTAATCATTAAAGAGAGAAGCCCCTGATCACACAGCCGCCTCTGTTTCCTCCTGTCTCAGCAGCCATTCCTTTGACCTTGAAAATACACTGTGTTGTAAAGACAACCCTTATCCTGAGTTAATCCATACATGACAAAAAAATGCAGTTGGGTTTTAATTTATGGAGGTTATGAGACATTCACTGCTACTAACTTTGTCACTAATCCACAGGAATCATTTTCCAGCTTAGTATGTAGCTGTAATGGATCAGAGTCGTAACACATAAACCTCCTCCTCATAACACAACATATATCAAAACAGAAGGAGAGAGGTTTGGATCTGGGAGCACGGAAACAAGAGGTAAAGGTGTGAAGTGCAGTGAGGGGAGTGTGAGTCAAACAGGCTGGGAGGGTGGGCTTCAGTGGGAGTGAACAGGCTGTTTGTGACCACATTCACTCAGTGACCCTCATGGAGGAGAGCCCTGGTGAATGATGCTAAAGCTCAAAGCAGCCACGGGTGCCAGTGGCACAGACCTGGTGCAGGTGAGTGGGCCCGCAGCGGTGAGCAAAGAGAAAGTTCTGATGGGTAAGAAGAAAAAGCAGCTGTTAGTCATGGAGATCAGCGGTCTGTTGGACACCACATGAGACGTCCCCTCACACAGGAACGCTGGGGAAAAGCGGCGGCAGCATTTGATGAAACACATTTTTAAAGATTTAAATTGATTGGGATGCGATCTTGAAGCATAAATAAATATACAACTTAAATGTCTCTTCTCAGCAAAATGGCCTTGATGCCACCAGAGAGCGTGGATTTGACACAACCACTCATCGACCCTAATCAAAGGAGACAGAGCCACGGTCACAGCTGTCTCATCCACTACATGTTCATCTACAGGAGTGACAGGCAGCCTCTCATGGCTTTGACTTGATGCATGTTTGTGTTGCATGGTTTATTACAATTTACATGGCTATGATGGAGAATGTAAACAAGGTGAACTTCATACTACTTTTACTGCCAAGACAGTTTGAAACATGATGAAATACTACATTCTTACAGAACCATTTGACTGTAAATGCACTGAAATAACCTCCAACTCTACACCATGACACTGTTATGTCATAGTGTAGTTTAAGCACAACATTCTCTTTGAGTTTTCTTCCAAATCCATTTGATCAATTTGAGCAAAGGTTATATTGCTAAAATTACACAGTTGGTCTTGAGTTGAAGAGAACAGTGACATAATGTTGTTGGGATATTAGCATGCAAGCAGAATATCCAGTACTTAGTGATTGCACACAGTCATACTGATATCTACAGATATTACTGTAGGTATTGTATTGTATTTATAATTGTGTCTATGAATAAGTTCTTCTTTGTAAAAGGGAAGGAGGGCTGAACGAGGCTCCGATGCCTCAGGTTGGAAATACCAGGTCTATTCTACCTTGTACAGAACCTTGTGTAACTGTGTGTGTGAATCGAAGAGATTATTCTTCCATTATGTTCAAACTCACCCTCTGGTCTGTACTGGGCGACGATGGTGACCACCTGACCTGCACCTTTCAGTGCGGCTGCTGCTTGTTCGTGCGTGGCTCCTCGAAGGTCAATTCCATTCACCTGTTTCAACATTGGAGAGATTCACAGGATTATTCTTAGTCCCAACCTGCTTGTCGGGTGCAGTTCTGTGCAGCCCACTGCTCCTGTTTCATCGATGGGTGAGACAACTAGAGGACAACTTTTGTTCACTGTCTGTGACAAATTGAGCAGTTTTGTGTTTTTTCAGGGCAAGGCTACAGCACAGTATTAGTTCCTTTTATTTTTATCCCTTGATGCAATAAGTTTGTTATCAGGCCGTCCTGTTCCTTTGACAACAGCACACTGTCTGACTAACGCTATTTGGAAATGATTTAAAATTTAGTACAAATGTATACAATATATTTCAAAGTCATCTCCAGGGGAAAAACAGATCAGTAAGCTTCTCAATGTGCAGCAACAACTCCATCCTATTTTCTTAACCTCAAGGACGAAGGACAGACATGGGATATAACATCGATATAAACATGGGAAAAAAAGGGGCAAGATTGAAGGAGAGATCGTTGTAAAGAGTGAAACGTGTGGCTCAGTGAGTGGGCGGAGACAGGTCAAGTTATTGTTAGAATTCAAATCCAGGCCACTGTTCTGCTACAATGTTAACTGAGTGTCGGGCTGATTACCTTCTGTGTGAGCTACACAGAACCATGACGAATAGACGCTACTTGACTGTGGCATTTGATGAATGGTGTGGCAACACTGTTGGAGGCAAATACTACAATTATCTATAATGAGGCAGAACAATCCCTTCCACCCAGCTACTACGTGCTGTGTAGACTGTTTATTATAGCAGTCAGTCAATGTCACATGGCACAGTGCGCTTTGACCAAAGAGCCTTGTATTATTTTTAGCAAACGTTAAGAAAAAAATAATTAAATCTGTTCTGTACAACTCAACAGGTGTGAACTGACAATCACTGACAAAGATCACATTGAAAAACATGATTTGTTTGGTTTGGTTTTAAATTTTAGTTTCATGAATTGCTAACAACACCATTGCACTTTCACTGATGGTACAACTGTGGTGCAGTGGTAGGATTCTTCCCTTTAACATAGTGGGTGGAGTTAAAGTCCAACTATTCTCCACCCCCACCCCCAACTCGTCTGCATCAGGAAGGGCATTGTAGGTAAAAACGGTGCCTAATCAATGTGCGGAGCTACAACTCCTGATAGTAGGAAAAAAACAACAGGAATTCTTTTTTGTCTTTTTACTATTATTAGGATAATATATATGTTTTTTTTTCATTTTTGTTTATTCAGTCTTTGTGTTGAGAAAAAAAACAATTTGTCCATTTGGTGGACAGAAAGGTCAACTCGCTAATCAAATGCTAACACCTTTCAAGCACAAATGTCCTGTGTTTGAAAAGGTCAAACACAATCTTGGCAAAGATGTCTGACACACAAGAATGTTTATTCCATTAGTAGGAAAATCAGGTAAAATGCTATCAAATACTGGTATATTAAATATTTTTATAGGAAGAATATTTAACAGTGTTTCAGTGAAGTCATTTTTCTGAAAACAACCTTTAAAACCACCTCTAAAAGTCATTTCTTATCTAGGCAAACCCCACAGTTGTAGACAATAAATCCAGATACATGTGGGTTTAGAACCATGCAAAAAAAACAAACAAACAAAAAAAAAACAAACATCATGTGATTCATTTCTAACACTGCAAATATTTGTTTGGTTTAAACACAAGAACAATGTCCTTTATTATGTGGGATATTACAGAAAAAGTTTCAAAGTAATTTCTGCAGCTCAGCACTACAAACTAAACCTCATTAGAGTGAGGTGCAGATGGAGATTAGATCCTGCAGGAGTGGAACCAGAGCAGAATTATATTTCTGGAAAAAAGTTCCGATATTGAAGAAAACATTGAAACTGTAAATATTTATGGGACTTGGGAGATAAATCTTACTTTCTCCTCCGAAGCAGGTCTAAGTTGATGTTTTTTATACATGATAATGTTTTCTGCAGGGCTGAGCTGACTCTGCTGCACTCACCGATAAAATCTGGTCACCTCGCCGCAGCTCCCCGCTCAGGTCAGCAGGACCTCCTGCCAGGATGAAGGAGACGAAGATACCTTCACCGTCCTCACCGCCCACTATATTAAAGCCGAGGCCCGTGGAACCTTTGTGGAGCACCACCTTCCGAGGGTCCCTGTACAAACAGTTGAGATAGTACATCAGCTCGGGTGAGTCGCTGGGTCTCAGCATGTTCATCTCGGATGGTAGAGGACACAGGAGGTGGACTGAAGCAGCAGGCAGCAGTGATGGACGCCTCGGTGATGTCTTGTTCAAACAAGGCTGCTCAAAGACTGCTGGCGCTCCATAGGGGAACGCTGCTCTACTTAGAATCATTTGTCCCCAATTCAGAGAAGGAAGCTCAGTGTGTGTGTGCGCACACACTCTCACACACTTGCTTTCTATCCCTGATTCTTTAACACATGCACACATGCCACGATCACTGCGCAGGGTGTGTGATAACACCCCTGACGGTTATAGGAGCAATTTCACTATCGAGATATGAAAACGTTTCAGTTGCAAAACTAAGACTTTCCCATTTTGCAACTAAAATAAAAAAGAAACAAGAGTGAGAAGAATCAAAAATTGAAGATTGTGTGATCAATCACACAATCTTTGCTCTGCAAACAACAGAAAAATTAATAATATTTTTTAGGTCCTGTTTCACACACTACGTATATAATCATGTGAGGTTTTATATATTAAGAACCCATCAGAGTGAAAACAGTAAGAGCAATAGGAAAGCAGCTCCATCTGGTGGTTAAATCATGAATTACAGAGATATGTTGGTTCTATGCTGCTGTTTAAATAAGATGGTAATAAAGCTTGGTGGATATAACTTTCCTAATCTGGTCTGAAATATAGGATCCAAAATAACAAAACATGTTTGTTGTGTTGAATTCTTTCTAGTTTTGCTATTTTTATGTACAATTTCCATTATGAAATGTCCGGACTCATTGTCTATGTTACAGTAGGACACAATTAATTACTTTACTATATTTCTAACCATGTGAGGCATTGGCTCCAATGTTGTATGCAATGTTGCATTGTTGTTACGAGGGAAAACACAATTAACAATTTATCCAGGATACCACCACATCAAACAATAATCGGGCAAAACCATTAACAATTCAATTAAGTCACAGTCACTATAACAGCTCCCCCAAGGCTCCACAAACAGCAGCTACAGACACAGACTTCAGTAGAAGAAGTCAACGAAACACCAATATTTTTATCTATCATTTTAAAGTCTCTTTACAGAAAGCTAAGGTTTTCTTCAGCAGCCTGCAGCAACAGAGGTCTCACAAAAGTGGAACGCCTTCAAAAGGATGATGATGAACGCTTGTCTTTGACATAACGATCGTAAGATTAGCAGACAATACTTATTCAGCACAGGACTTACTGTCTCCATGGCCCACATCAGATAATGTATCTGTGTAATTCATGCTACAATTACTGTCACAGCAGGTGTGCTCGGCAGGATTGACTTACAAACTGCTATTTGCATTTATTGCCCAGGATGATTTCTCTGTGAACGACTCAGAGACAAGGACGTAAACACACACTCCTTGTCGTGAGTTTCCTCCTGACTTGCATTAAATCAGTCACTGTATTTGTGAGTGATAACCCATTTTTATTCTCTTCCACTTTAGACTAAATAAATCAGTGAAACGGCTTTGGTAAAGTGACAGGGTAGAAACAATAACTTTTTCAGCCTCAGTAGAAAAATAACAGTTTAGATGTAGAGGCAGTAAAAATGGGACAGTTTTATAGGTGATACCATGATCTTTAAAGAAAAGCAGAGTTAACGTGTGCTGATGTCTCACGTTTGTGCAAGATTAAAGATTAGGCTGATTAAATTGAAATTATAGAAGAAATTTAGCTAAAACCCCCCTAACAAACATCACTTTCCCTTTTGGTTTAATGTCAGATTTTTATGCAAAACTACGTTTTAGGGTAATTTATGGACCCCAGGAAACAAAGGTTTAGTTTTAGTTAGTTTAGTCACATGACTGACCAAAACTATCTGCACTGATTCATCAGTGAATGTGGCTCTACTGTGCATGTCTTACAGTTGTGGAAAAAAAATACTATACACATACGTACAACAACTATTACACAAAGAAAGCCTCAAAACATTCTATTGGTCGACCTGCAATCATGCAACAAAATTGCAGGAACGTTCTGTCAGAATCCGGAGGCTCTCAGAAAAATCACCTTTTTGGAAGCAATGGTTTGTGCTGCACATGTACCATATGAGAACAGTACATGCATACTGCTAATTACTGTACAGTTAGATATGATGGTAAAAGCAACTGACAGTCAGAGGTGCAGTACAGGAGCGCCACATGCAGCATTAAAGGGCGACACTGGCTTGAGGGACTTCACATTGCTTTCTCGTCCTTTTTCTACGACATGTTTCTGTTCGGACTATTAAGGTTTTTCACAAGGTAAACGGTAATGACGATGATGTGGAGACACACAGACGAGAGTTGCAGGAGCATCAAAGGAAGAAGCGATCAAACAAATGCATGAGGGTGGTTTCAAATGCTGCTATGGTAACACGGCAGACGGGAAGGGACAAGGAGAGCAGAGCAGCGATGGCGATGGCGATGGCGATGGGGGTGGAGAAAATACCTGGTGATGTCCGACTCAGGGAACAGGCTTAAGTGATAGTTTGGGAGGGGGGCGGAGTGGAGGAGGCTTTTGTCACACTCCACTGGGGAAAAGTGTCGGGGGGAGGGTGCTTTGTCACAAAGTTTGTTCACAGTGCTGTAAACTGGCTCAGGAGGCCTACAGTGGAGTGAGAGACAAGAGCAGAGCTGTTAGTGTCCACAGACAGAGGTGAGGATGGGGGACTGGGGATAACAGAGATGGCAGTGACCCTGGTTAGACCTGGTGTGTAGGTAGATGTGTCCTGAGAGACCTGATCTGAAGTGGACCAGTTTTTCAGGTCGGACAGTGTGGTTGCACTGTACAAAATAGATAAATGAATAATTAAATAAAAAATACACAGTAGTATTGACTGGATCTTCCAAATCTGTTTATTTGTGCAAATGTTAATTCACATTTGTAGAATATTAACTATTCTTAACCTTGTATCTAAGAGGCTTTTTTATTGGTCACATTAACTGGGTGGATATGAATTAAAGGCTACATAGACAAAATTCACCCCGCATGCATGATAACCAACTGGTATTGGCTACTACATGAACAATAAACAAAACTCCTGTTGGATTTAGATGACCTTTGACCTTAGGTCACACAAAGTATTTGTTGGTTTCTATAACGTAGATTATTGGTTTGTTAATGTTAAAAGTAATTTAAATGTTGAAAGTGTCTTACTGTCTCTATCCACATATTAACTGCTGTGCTAACTAGTCATTCTCTGTAATCAAAAATGTGATTAATTCTTGAAAATAGCTACAGATTACTCAAAGCTGTATATAACATTTATTTATCTGAGATGGTAGCTTGTTGAGGTGACTCCATAATAACCAATCATTGACCGTAGTTCCTGATGTAAATTGGTGTTCAAACATATAAAAGGAAGTGGACAAAGTCACGACCAGACGGACATTGAATGTGTGTCTGTGCAGTCTGATCAAAGAACTGAGAATGAGTGGAGAACATGTGGAGAACTTGTGATTGGGTGTCACAGGAACAAAGTTCTAAAGGTGTCAGTTAAAGCCTAATGATGACAGAGAGGAAAGACACAAACAGAAGCTGGGAGACAGGGTGGAACAGGACAACTGACGACAACATGACAGACTGTTGAAAAAAAAAAAAAAGTCCCAGAGCTAATTGTGTTTTCTGTACATTGACTATGTCATAGTAACACTACGAATTAAACATGGATATGGCTCTTAGTCTTTATATAATAGGCTTAAACTGGTCAGAGCTAAAATACTGGGATTGTGATTTGATGTTTACACCAGTGACTCACTCTGAGCGTATTTGTAAAGAAGACGTAGGCATTGGTTGGTGAATTTTAAGATGAATAATTCAAGTATTATATAAATATCCAAACAGGTTAAAACATATTGACAAATTGACATATCTTTTAAATCATACAGTAGTTGCTTTTAAAATCTGGAAGGGAAAAAAGCAATTTCTGTGAAAAAAATCTAACCCTAGATTAACCCTAGATTGACCTTTTGCTGTGAAAGGATTTCCTGTTATGATATACTATACATTTACAGTGTCCCTGTTTTTTCAAGTGTGTAAAGATATTGTGGAGAAACAGATAAACAATTTCTAAAAATAATTAATAGTTATAAAAATAAAATAATATAAAATATTATTATGTTTTCCAGATATCCTGCACCATATACCAACATTTATTCATTAATTTCTGAGCAGACATTTTAAGGTAATTTCCAGCCCTTTAAGCTATCACAGTCGAATCACAGCCTCCAGAGGGACCATCCAGAATCCTCAACCCCTGAACTGCAAGAGCTTTATGCAGTTGACTTTTGTTGAGGATTTGGTTTCTAGTTCTCTACTTTAGCTGTACATACTTGAAAAAACAGGGCAACCAAAGGAAGCTAGTGTAAATGTTCACACTTATCACTGTATTTCAGGAAAGGGCTTGTCTGTAATCAGTAATCATCATAACATGCATTCATAAACGTGCAGCAGCGTGCAATTGGTGAAGTGAAGGGCAAACCTCTCACCTCAACTGGAAGTGTTGGGAATCAAACCTGTGACCCTCTCCATCATCTAGCGAGGGATTTCTGATTGGACGGAGAAAGTAAACTGTTGATAAACTATCACTGAAATGCTTAAAGAAATGCATTTTAAAGGTATTTTAACACATGAAAACAGTGCAGAGAAACGTTAGGAGACATGCGACACAAGACAATCAGTCGACTGAAAACATATGTGTTGACTTAATTGTTAAATTACATCTATGCTTGGTCAGGAGTGAAGATGTTTATATTTGCACACAATGTCACAACATCACCAGAGCTTCAGTATAATGTTACTGTATGTGTGAACCAATGCTCAGTCCCCTGCTCATCAGCCTCTACATACTGTACATCCAAACCAGGTCCAAGTTCTGTCTTTTAGACACAACGTCATAACAGCGGACGGATGCGTAGGACGGGTGTAGGATGGCCACACGCACAATAAGTGTCAGATGGACAGGATTAGAGTGTGATGTTACTGTTACTTTGGCCCGCTTTGAATGTACAGCCGCCCCCTCATACAGCTCAATCAGTGACCAACTGTTGTCTGTTTACACTCAGTTCATACTGTACATACACACTTCTGCACATTTATCATCATCATCATCATCATCATCATCATCTTCACACCACAGCCTTTTCCTGCAGTGACGTATCTCCAGAAATAACCAGCACCACCACATATTTCACCCTCCACTGCAGCTGCTGATAGAGACGCCATGCAGGGAAGGCTGTTCCACTAATCATGTTTCAACATGACAAATCAACACGGCAGTGCCATCGCAGAAGCACAGGTGTGAGTGTCTGGGAGGAATCAAACAAAATGAAGGAATTTCTCCTGCATGGAAATTCCTTCAGCTACGACAAAACAATAACGATTGGTTAGACGTCATGTAAATATAGAGTGGACAAACTTTCCAGTATCCCACCCTTTGTCAGAACTGCAAATCAACTTGGATATTCATATCTGAAGCACGAATTGAGACTCAATCACAAGCCATTGGAAAGATGGAAAAGCTGGATAGGAGCGGACATTTGGCTTTGTCTCTCAGTGCTGAATCATTCATACTGCATTCTGAGACTAAAAACCAGTCACCTTGAGAAGACACCATAAAGCTGATCTATTTTTGTTTTTCTTTTGGCCATTTTCTAAACCTGTTTTACAAACTTTCTCATGTGATGAAACTGATCCTCAAATGAGGGTTTGCAGGAAACATGTTTTCCCCCAGATTATGACACATCATCCCTAGTGCTGGAGTTCACAGGTTTTTGGGTAAGACATTCTCACCGGAAGGAGGAGGAGTTTATGTGTCCGCGTTGGCGGTGACAGGTCCGCCATGTGGCAGATGACAAGAATACACTTGCAGTTCGTCAGAGTTAAATTAAAAATATTCAGGTGATTCCTAAGAGATGATTGAGTGATGACACCAATTAGTGGGTTTGTGTCCAAAAGTATTGGACCACAACCTGACTATAAATCACATGTGACTAATGCTTAGTTACTGCACTAAGAGACAGTGTGGGAATAAAACTGTAGATTTTAGGCTGAAAGTTAACTGGAGATTCAGACTAGTGAAGTACAACACAGTCAATACATCTAAGCCCTTATGAAAATGGTAGTAAATAGACATGTTTGTAGTACTATAACTACTAGTACTACTACTATAACTAAATATGGTCAGAATTTTAACAGGAATTGCACCAATTTATACCTACCAACTCAGACACTACCTAGTTTTACAAGAGTGCTATAATAGTAACAACAACTTAACCACTGCACTTCATTCTTAACGAGAAAATGCTATAAGTCACTTAGCACAACATAACTGCTGCCCATGATGAGCAAAGGAATGGGGAGTTAGAACAGTCTTGTCCTGATTCAGCAGAACTTACTACTGACCATTGAAATAAGCCCAATAAATTGGGAGCAAAATAATAAAAAACAATACGAATCAAAATACAGTATTTACTTCTAGCGAATACTCACTGTGATGGTGTTACTGTGTGGTACGCAGTATGCCCCTTTCAGAGGCTATTAGGGATGCACCTTAGGCAGGAGCCTACTGTAAACCTCTTATCTCCAAAGCGAATGGAGGATTAATCATTCACTCAACAAAGCTTAACGCAGAGGTCCTTCACTTATCCTCTGAAATGAGCTTTAGTTTTGCTCTGCTGCAGAACTCTTGCACCACTCTGAGATTCTGCAAATGGGACGTGACACCCTGCATGAATCTTACTGCAGCACCACAGCACTGTAGCGAGCAGGGTTGATTTGAACGGAAGGTCAATTTAATGTCCTTTTTCATTCACCGGACTACGCCGCTCTGCAGTTCAATATCCCCCCCGTGTTACAGCGCATTAATATCAATAATCAGTTTGGCCGAGAGATGAACAAAGCAACGCCTGCTTGCGAGAAACAACAGGAGGAATGTTGGTGTGAGCTCTTGTGAGCTGGGCACTTTATAAATTCCTAGCTCTTAAATGAGACTTGATTTAGAACCAAGCCTTCCAGAATCACAGTGTTGGATTACTGCAGCTCATGTGGTGAGTTGCTCATGTTTGTGACATGGTAAGCTTTGGAGAAGTGGAGACAGTAATAAGCTGTTATAGCAACTCACAAAACAATAGTTAGAAAAATAATAATCAACAGGAAAATCCAATGGGAACAATCCAAATTCTATTATCATTTTCACTTATCGATTTGATACCTCGTTGATTCTCTACGATGATTGAATTATTACAAATGGGTTTTATTTGCATTTGCATTATTAATTTAATATAAAGTATGTGTTTGCATTTGTCATTTGATTATGATCACTAAACAGAGGAATCTGTGGCTACATGACAGCAAAGCTACATGTAGCACGTAAAGCAAGATTGAAAATCTGTGAAATTTATTTCTAATTATTAATGTATCATTTATTATCACCTCTTGTTTTGCAGCCAACAAAACTGTTTTAGGCTACTCTCACCTGAGGTCTTTCTACACAGACCTATACATGGCCTTGAGTCTCAGCTACTCTAGACTTTCCACCAATATTGATCTGGTTGAAGTGCTGCCACCATAAGAGCTAATGTATGAATTTAGTCCATACTGACGCGGAACCTGAAGCAGCCGATACATTGCTATTCAAACCACCAACTTCAAAACACAATCAATCTACGCCCCCACTGATCGAACCCTCCTGCTTAGCCTTTAAGGGTCCTTGAAAGGAATGGAGCCGATTCTGCCTGAGACTAGGTAAAAGCTAACTACACCATGGACGAGGAAGACAATCTTTCATGTTCACACCAGTCCTGTTGTGAGGCCCCAGAGCTTCACATTAAGGGTTCACTAATTGAAACCAGGTTTTTACCAGTGCTACACACCACAGCTCACAGAAATACATTTGCAGCTTTTATTCCAATTTTACAAACTGCAATATCTGCAATATCTTGCAGACATCAACACTAATATATATGAAAATAAATTGGTGCTGTCAAAACAAATGCACTAATTGCATTGATTTTTGACATTAATTGTATATACAGTGGATATAAATGCAGAATTTGTATATATTTACAGTACTACATAAATATGGATATATATATATATATGGAATATGCATATGCATATAAATGTGCATATATACTGTAAATACATACATAGGATGGCTCAATTATATGTGAACTTCTTTCCTTAAAATGCCTGGAGCATCTTTCTGTATGTTTTCCTGTATCTTTCTAACTATTGACTCTCTTCAGTGAGTGTGCTGTGTTGCACTGCCTGATTAGGAACCATGGGACCTATTTTCCTCTTATTAGAACTCTATATAGGTTGTTTGGAAAACCACTGAAGAGCGAGAGACACTTCGAGAGGAACGGGAGTCACATAAACAACAGGTGACGCAGAGATCTTTTCAAAATGCATCACAACTCTCGGCTGAGCTTTGATTGCCTTTTGAATTGCCACACAAACACATCAGACAAGATAAGGGGGAGACATTAGGAGTGGGGCTGACAAAGCTTCTACCTGCAGAAGTGTGGAAGGAAGGAAGGGAGGTAATTACCGTAAGAAGGAAAAACCATCCAACCTGTTTATATCCTCTTCGCCTAGTAAGTGCTTTGGGAGGGGAGAATAACTCCCAGGGGAGATTGGGGGAAGACCAGACTTGTACTCCAGAGTACCACTGTTGATGGGGGAAGAAATATGATTTTCCATGGCTGGAGAGAAGGCTGTGAGAAACAAAGGAGAGAAATTCTAGTGTCACAATAAGGAGTTATGCTAACAGTACTATTTACCTTAAGTTCAATCAACAGAGATTTTTTTTAATTTATAATAAAGGTTAACATCTAAACAACAGAAGTGATGTAATAAAAACAGATGGTCTGCAGAGTCAATAATTGGTTTGCACGCATGGGTGGCTTTAAATAAAATAAGAAAGTGAATATTGTTCTTCTGTCCGCATGACAAGTGGGATTCACTTTATAACTTCGATGCTTTTAATATTACAGAGGCTGAGACGGCCTGCGGTATAATCTTGTCACGGCGATCGTTCCTGCAGGTAACATTTGGACTTTAACTGGAGACAGGTGACAGCCAGGTCAAACCCCTGAGTAACTGTAAAGTGACTACTGTCTGAGGTAAGCAAAAGTTAAATGTCAGTAAGAGGTCTTTGGTTTATGTTTATAGCCCAACGCCTCTATATTTTGTAAGAAATAAAGAAAGCAGAATCTGTGGGAGACTGATACAGCAGTCCTGTACTGTAGTAATACTTTGGTGTACTGGTCTTTATGTGTGTAGTGGTGAAAGTTGTGAAAATAAGCCAGTTTTCACAGTCACACTGCGAGGTGTGATTTTAACAAACTCAAACTCCTGTGTGGATTGCACTTTAACAAAATATCTCTATGTCTTCACATCGCTCTGACCGGGTCCCTGAAGGCTACAGAGCAGCTGACCTGAGGCGTGAGGACTTACAGTGCGTGATATCAGGAGGTCCATACGGATCTGACAGGTAGACGTTGGTGGGCTTTCCCACCTTAAGGTAGACCACGTCCGACGTGTTCTTCAAAATGGCCACTGCCTCTTCATGAGTCACCTCCTCCAGACTGTAGTTGTTCACCTGTCCAGATAATGAGCAGTCAGTGTGAGTCCGCTCATTAACTCTCCTTCCTGCTCCTCCGAGGTCGTACTGGCGTGTGCGCCGTGTGCGTGAGACTAGATTATGACAGATGGCCTTCGCTTGACAACACGACATTTGGGGGGAAGCTAATTAAATTAAGTGCTGGTCAAGCAAGAAGGATGCTTTTTCCATAGCAAAAGTAGACGTACTGAGCCACGGCATTTCTGCTTTTGAAATAGACCCCACAGTTAATACATCCAGTTGAATGCATTAAACCACGTTATTTAAATATGTGTTTGCAATTACAGACTACAAACCAAACCAGTGGAGATACATTATAGATTTAAATGACACTGCTGTACTTACCATTAACAATCTGTCTCCGACCTGTAGCCGACCATCTTTCAGTGCTGCGCCACCATCAATGATTTTGGTAACATATATGCTGTTGTCACCAGGTATGTGCTGGTTTCCAACCCCGCCTGCAATACTGAAGCCAAGCCCTGTGTGCGTTCAAATGAGTGGAAGACTGTTGATTAGTTTGTGGGACTAAAAGATGACATGGGACTAAACCTGAGACGATGAGATGTGAAGAGATTTTTTATATGTGTCCTTTATGCAGTAATGTGCCATATACACATATTAACCACCTTTTGGTCCTTTGATGAGTTTAATCTCAATAATGGTCTCCAGCATTGGCCTGCGGCGCCGCACATACAGTCGGACAATAGAACCCGCAACCTTTAGGGCCTCCACTGCTTTACTGTGAGAAACCTCAGACACGTCGGCATCGTTCACTCGCAGTATGCAGTCATTTACCCTGGAAGGAGGAAAACATGGAATCACATTTAGGAAAACAAGCTCTTTTGTTAATGGCTGTAAACTGAAACACAGTGGAAATTAGTATAAGGCAGATGCAGTACAGTTACCATGGGAACAGTGATGCTTTCAGATGTGCACTCCAAAAGCAGACCTGAATGCAGTTCTAAAATTGAGTGGAGGAGTTGTTATCTTTGCTATCACTCAGGTAAGCCTGCCTAAGTACACAACAGGAACACGCTGTAATGTGTTTGTTGGAGCCAGGCTCCTCTTACATTCTGCTGAACATCTGCTGTGATTTGTGAAACATTAGAAAACATCCCTATTTATTTCTCTGATTTTCAGATATCTGTTCAAACCAGTACCAGACTGGATTGCACCTACAGGTGCTGTACACAAAACAGTTTTATGTTAAGTTTAGATATTGATTCTATATTTTTAGCATTGCAAATCCTTAATCTGATTTCCCTATAACAAGTTGAAACTAGAACTAATCTGGCTCAGGATATTTTATACATACAACAGCCAGTTAACTCACACTAAGACTTTCTTAACCTTTTTCTCACTTTGCTTCTGTCTACTTTATATATGTCGCATTAGATTTTTAGTTATATATATATTTTAGTTCCTGTGTTCCATCCTGAGAGGAACTACATACTGAATAGCGCCTCCCGTGGCAGCCTGTGTGGATTGCAAAGGCTCACACTGTGAATTTCCAAATAAGGTACTATAATTGATTCATCTGCACTGGCCTGCTAAATAAAAGTTTGAGTGGCAACTCACCAATTTCTTTGAACTTTTGGAAGTATGACCACTTATTTTTGAAAATGCTAATTTATTGTGCTGTGTTATGGTGAGTTTACTAAAACCCTTTTTTTCCCAGTCTGAGGGCTTATGTAGATGGGTGCATGAAAATGTGAAAAACTAAATTTTTCAGCAAGCACTTAATTTGAATTCCCCTAAGGAATTGAACCAAACTTTATTTTGCCGAGGCACACAAGGGCACACATCTCAGTGGGGGTTCATGCAGATCAGCTGGGACCCACGTGCAGTCGCAAACAGATTCAAATGTGACCTCAATTTTTACTTCTTTCCCCAGTGTGTGTGTATGTGTGTTTTCACTGGTTTTTATGTAACCAAACTCTGAAGTAAGTTTTCCTTCAGGACAACAAGGGCTGTGTATTGTGTATTTCCCATACCAGCTTTTCTATCCTTCATCCAAGAATGTCCATTCAGACCTTCCCCTAAACGAGTTAACCGTGTGCCCTGTATCTGCTCGTCTTCCTGTAAACCACTTTGCCATAATTAAAGCGCCTCCTCTGTATTGTGCTGTTTTGAGAGCCAGGTTTTGGCTGACCTCTGCTTGTGATGCTTCATATAAATTGTACTTTTTTTTGTACAAAATTATTCATTCTGTACCAATTTTCCTTCCACTAGATGAGAGCCAAAATTTGAGAAATGCTGCCATCTTGCATTAGTGATGTCATTTCGGAATCCAGAGAGCAAAGATTAGGGAAATGCAGGAATATAAACAAACCACTTGAATGTAATCAGATATCGAATCAAAGCCATCCTTTTTTCTCAGGACGGTCATTGCTTATAATTAGCAGCTACTTTTCCTGTATTTAAAGGATGAATTTTAATCCTTCATTACATCCACTTACAGGATGTAATGTATTTACATCCTGTAAGTGTGAAGATTCACATACAGAGGTGGTTTAATTATTTTGGGGTTTATTCCTGACTACACACTCTTCCCTCTCCAACATCTGCCTCCATGATAAACTATTAAATGCTCGTAGCGGTCCCTTGAGCTAGGCCAGTGCATTAAGTGTGCTTAGTGCCCCGTATTACAGCGTCCCAGAGTGGTGACAGAAAGTCTACTGGCTTTTTTTTAATGATGGAGAAAACCAAATACCCAGCAGGCCTCGCTCCTCCTGGAGATTAGAGCTTGCCTCCCATCCATAATGCATTAAATCTCTCTGCCCACCTTGGAGTGGGTGACCGCCAATTAGTTTAAAGTGTGAGCTGTGCCCAGACCAATTTTTCAGCACTGGACTGATGCTTTACATGAATTACATTCACTGTCTTAACACATCTATCACCAAACACTGAGGCATGTGAGAAATGTAGTTGCAGTTGAAGAAGTGATCAGTACTGGTACATCTGTATTGGATTTTTTTGGAGGTTACATCACAATATAGGACAACAGCCTTAAGTTGATATGTATATTAGTATTTATGGTTAAACATTCCTCTTAAGCATTTAACTCCCCTCATCAAAAGAAACTGATTAATGAAATTTATATATTTCTCTTACAATTTGAGGTAACCATTACGACTTATTATGTACTGTTTACTTAATTCTTGAACCAAATTGTTTATTGACAAGAAGCAAGTGTCACAAGAAGTGTCACAATCTCAGTCCCATCTGATTAGTTTATAGCCAGTGACACCTTAATGTTTAAGTACTTTGAATTGAAAATATACTCAGGATGAGACTTTTTTGTTCATTGTTTCTGCAGAAGATCCAGAAGTTTGTATTTTCTGCTTCTTCAGCAGTTACAGTGCTGGTGAAAAAATAATAGAATAGAAAAATATTACATAACACAGGTTTGGTTATTCCCATTAGACAATGACACAGTGCTGCTGTTTCTGCAGTGACAGTCATCTGGCTGCCAATGTTCCACTCAAGTTTTATCAAAATGAGGCCTCAGCCTCTGCAGGGAGAGAGCTGTGAGCCATTAGAACAGAGCTGCAAGGGAAAGTGGATTGTATTTCTTAATTAACCGAAAATTGACTCTACTTTATCTTGAATTTTATTTGCCTCTATGATGCTTTGTTTCCAGTGGACTCACCACCCGCAGGAAGGTTCAGGGGGGTTGGTACGATGCAATGTGATTTGGGTGGCGACTGCTGCCCCCGTGACCCGGTAACGGATAAGCGGATGAAAATGGATGGATGGATGGATGCTTTGTATCCACTTGATAGGTGGAGGCGTATATGGTACACTCCCGTTTAGGCAACTAATGCTAAGAAACTATTGCTTTAGTCATCCTCTGCAGACAATAAAGTTTTTCAAAAAGTCTCTTTTCTGTTGGACCTGAAATCCCCTGTAGCCTCCTTTCATCACCAGTGTGGGGCAGTCTAAGGGACTGACCTGAGGCGTCCGTCCTCTGCCGCAGCCCCTCCAGGGATGATCTTAGTGATGAAGATGCCAGGGTCATCTCCGATGTGTGGGTTGTCTGTTCCTCCAGCGATACTAAAGCCCAACCCTGAGTTACCCTGCAGTTGAGGAGAGACAGTCAGTCACAAGAGACAGAGATGAGAGAGAGAGGTGAGGGTGAGAGAGAAAGCACACATAAAAAAAATATTTTTTGTGCGGTGAGTTTATGAGCCAAAAAAACGATGCAGTAAACTAAGAACACATCTATAAAGCCACACAGTAATTTGGCTAATACCAGGTTCTGACTCTAATCCGCCCATTAAGTTCTGTATTGTTTTTTTTTTCTCGTATCTTGACATAAAAATCACAATTTGCACATAATGACATGTTTTCAATGCAAAAAAATGATTCCATGGAAAATACTTTATCCACCTATTACTTGTTAAATTCCCTTCAGAGGATTTACCATAGCAATCCCAGCATGCATTGGTTGAGGTTGGGATACATCCTGAACAGTTGACCACCAGTCTATCACAGGGTCACATACATGTAGAAACAATTCACACTCACTGTCATACCTATGGTGAATCTATAGTTCTCAATTAACCTTTTTATCGAATGTTTTTGGACTGTGGGATGAAACCAGAGGAACTATAAAAAACAATGAAAAAAGCAATACAGTGAAACCATCAGTAACTGCTGTTCCTGCAGTACGACAACACTTATCTCTCAGCTACCATGTGGCCTAAATAAAGAGAACAGTTTGACCCAAATACCATCTGTTAAAATGTATTTATTTTTAACTTAAAATACAGTTTGATTATTGTGGAGACACTCAAGGACGGAGCTAAACATAAAAGGCACCTGTGTCAGTGCCGGTGCCAACGGTTCTATTCACTAATCCTGACACTCTTCTCATGTTAAGCAAGGTATCCTGTGTTCTTTATATTATGTTTAAGTCAAATTTTCTGCTGCTCGACAGATGTGTTTACTATTTGCTGAAGTGTTAGCACTGCTAATAGGACAGCATAAAGCAAATAGCTCCAAAATGTCCTCCACTGCCCCCTGCTGACCCTGTTTTTGGCCCTTAATTTGTTTAAAGCACAACTGATTAAAAGTAAATCAAATGTTGATGCATAATTTAATGGCCTGACTTCAGGGTCACTTCCCACCAGCGTGATTAAAAAAAGTGGTCAGAGCTGTCTACATTATTAACCAACCCACGATGGCTGCACCTCACCAGCACCTTCACATCAACTGCTTGAGGACACACTCCACTCCAAAAGTTTTGGCTGTGCAAATAAAATCCCCTCGGCCGCTCAATCACAAAATGAAAGGCAAGCCTTGATGGAGTTGTTTACTGATGAAAACAGCAGCTTCTCCTGATTACAAATCCACCGGCTGTGCCCGCAGGACACCGCTGTCTGGAGTGTCCAATCAAAAATGTTCTACAGGATGGAGAGTCAACTGGGCCAGACACTGTTAAGTGTTTCTGGTCTTCATCTGATGTCACACAGGAGATGGATTAAGGATGTAGGCTGACAAGGTCTGAAGCTCTGGTACAGGTTTTCGTGGATCCTCATGGATGATACTGTCATCTTTGTGTCGTAGTAAAAATTCAATTTGAAAAGCTTTTCAAATACAGTCAGTGGTAAAGGTAAAAATACTGAACTAATACAGTATATAAAATATGTACATTATAACCGATTGAAGATACTCACCCTTTCGAGCGTGATTTCCTCAAACTCGTACTCAATTTCTGTGCCGTTGACCTGAGGAAACAAAAAATACATTGTTGCAGCAATTCGCTCTTTTTAGTTAATAAAACAAAACAAAACAGTGTAACATAAAATATTAATTTATATGAATAATTTCCAAATGTCCTATTTATAAAGATATTGCCATAACTCCCCATTAGAGAAGACTGCCTCACACACCGTTATTAATAGTCATTTCTGTGGCATTGAAAGTCGGCTGCATAGGAGTTTGTCTCATCTTACAACCCGCAGTGATGATGAAGTACCAGCCAGATCCCTCATCATTATCCATTCATACAGGATGTTTATGTGATGTTGCATATAATTTTCCCTGCAGAGCATCATTTCTGAGTTTCATCACAAATTATAACCAGAGCTCACGGAAGCAATCAAGACCCAAAGACCTAATTAGCAGCAGCAGGAAGAGTGTATACAGTTTGCAGAGAGATGAGTCTGATAAAACCTTGGCTACTCAGTTACTGGACAAAGCTCTGTCACATCAAATCCCCTCCATAAAAGTGAGAAATGTCGTCTGGCAGGAAGCAATAATAACAACTGGATGAGGCCGAGGCAGAGATCTACAGCACTGTCCTCGAGTCTTTATAAATCACCAAAGTGTCTAGAGCTCATACTGTACTCTGTGTCGGAGCATTTCCTATTAACTCAACATTGCAGCGAAGCCCAGTTTATTTGTTGACGCTGCAAAATTCTGACAAAAGTCAGTAATGTAGGCTTAGAAAATCGTGTGGCTCTATTATTCATTATTAAAATCAATAATTCACTAATGTGACCTCATTTGTTTAGTGAGGATTAAATTGCACCAAATACACCTCATTATTCTGGTAATTGTGTATTTTTCATTTTGGACTCTTTTGCTCTACTTTGAAGAAAAATAAGACTGGGATAAATGTACCTCATCTATTAGTAAAAGGTGTAAAAGGCTTCTGAAGCTTTCATACTCACGTAAGGAACTGACTCCAAAGTGTCTGTGTTAACGATAATCGGGGCAGGACTGGCCTGTAACAGACAGAGAAAAAGTTTTGGAAAAGTTAACTCCCGTCGTCACTGTCCTACTTCCATGGATCAGACTCATGGCTCTCGTCCTATCATCAACAGACGCCCATTCGCTGAATGTTTCCATAAATGCTCTTATCTCACAGTCTCAGCGCTTTGATAGTTTAATTAAAGTTGAATGGGATTAACAAGAGGAGAGAGATGAGAACACAGGCAGCCACACGGATGCAGTTGGTTTGTACTGTTCAGCTGTGTAAATGTCGCACCTCACTGTTGGCACCGGCACAGCCGAGTACGGTGACAGCACTTTCTGATTCATACAGGCCTGGAGCTGAGGCCCATACTGTAGGTGCAACATTATTTAATGAGGTTATTACCAGCAGCTAAACAATATGTAACCAGTGAGTGTGACGTTATAGCAAGTACAAATAGTAACATCAGAGCAGAAACATCAGAATACTTACAATAGTTAAAAAACTAACACTAACACACAATGCAGCGGGGATGGCCGTGTGATGACTGTGTGTACTGTGAAACGTCTCTCTGATATAATTTCCTGATTGAAAGCAACTCCTTTACAGGAACAGGAACAGAGTGGTAGCTAATTATTCAGTTTCTTTAACAGCTGCAGGGCTGGATGCGTGCACATCATTTTACCTGGGTAAGCAAAGCAAACATAGGGCACAGCAAACGTAAAATATTGCATGAATTTAACAAAAGGAGGAAACCAGAGTTTAATAGCTGTGCAGGAAATGCATTTTTTTATGAAATTAACACATTATTCTAATGGCTTTAAAGTCATTACTTTCAAGAGCACTCAGTTATTGCAGTAACACAACAAAATATGGCTTTTAGAGCCCACAGTGTGTTCATTATACTATCATGTATAGAACATTTTAAAAATTTTACTCATTCAAGCTGCACAAATATGTCTTTAAATCCCTTTGACATACAGTATACTCACAGAGTACTCTATTACACTGTAAAGCTCCAAGGCATGTCAGTTACTGAACACTACTACAGATGATTAGTCACAGAGAAAGAAGGGATTCAGCTTAGAGCAGAAAGCCAGAATAATGCATCTTATATCCTGTATCTGGTCAGTAGGCTGCGCTATTAATCAGATAACCATCACTGGACGCTCTTTCCTCAATAACTGTCAGGAGAACAACAGTCCCCTAATTAACAGGGTGGAATGACAGCTGCACTATACAGTGAGCAGCATTGCCTTCAACCAACATACAGCAAGTGCAGTTATATTTAACTGGAAATGTCCTTGTTCTAGTTAACCAATCAGATTTAGGCAAAGGCAGTTAAGTTGTCACAGTTGATGCAATTAGCTGATGTCAGTTTATCCTGGTGTTTTAGTTTCCTTTTTGAACATTGACATTACCTTACATGCTTGGAAATACAGTGGTGTGTAATAAAGACAGTCATTGAGCAAAGGCACAACAGTGACTTTATGTCTGATTGTACTGATTTTCTTCCCTTCTTCTAACAGCCTCCTTTTTCTTTTTTATTCTTCTGTGCTTCAAAAGGGAGTCTCCTGTTATGGGAGGAACAATTGAATCCCAGCAAAACTTTGCAACAATTTAATCAGGTTTCCCCAAAGTACGTGGTCAATCTGTTGAGGGCTGAAAAGTCAATATTGCCACTGTAGGAGGTTGCTTTCATTTTGTTTGTTTTGTTGTTTTTTTTTTGTTCAGAAAATACAGGCTTCTACAAAAAGGCTATGAATAAAAAGAAGAGCTTCACATTCCAGAATTACAACTACCCGAATTACAATAACATTTAAAGATGGTTCAACTCACTGTACGCAATTATGGTACATCATTGTTTTTTCCCCAAAGTGTTCTTAACATTTAATTGAAATAGACATTCAATTTAGAATGAGAAAATTCTCATACTAAACAGTTGAACTTTTTATACAAATAAATAAATGCACATTTCTTTTTTGTGCTGTGCTGCAGCCTCATTATAATAGCTGATAACATAGGTACGGCTTGCACAAAAATAAAACAACAAACACATTTCCAAATAGAAGCACCAGAGAAATAATTGCCGCTAAACTGAGCACATACTGTGAATAACACACTTTACTGCGCTGTGGCTCATTTCTCCTCCTCTTTATGCTTCCTACCATCACTACGTAACCAAATGCCTTGAACGGCACATTAAGCCAGTGGTCCAGCAGCATCTCTGCACTGCACATCATATGTCAAGAGACTTCACTGGCAAATAAAGAGCAAATCAAAATAATGGCAGGGATGAATTGAACCCTCTTTTGCAGACACACACAAACACAGTTTCATATCATCCCATTAGGGATCACTGAACGCACAGATGTTCATTTGGGGTTGACTTTTTTTTGACGAATACAGTATTATTTACAAACTTTAAATCATGTGTCAAACTCAGGCCTGGGGGCCAAATCTGGCCTGCATTGTAATTATATTTGGCCCACGAGATTATATCAAATGTGTAATAGAGTTTGCCCACCGGTATATAGACCCTGTATACATATCCGACATTTCAAATTTAATTTCTCATGTGTTTATAATATAAGGTTTAGGCTGTTCCAGATTCAGTGTTTATGTAAAAAAATCTACATTATAGATCTGGAGAGAAGGGAAAACATGAACAATTGTGAATTTGAGTTTGACAGCACTGCTTTAAATCAACGGCACATAAATGACAGCATATGCATCAGCAGGTAGAGGACTAGGCTCTTATCAGTGAACTTAGAAACTACACAGCAAAGAAAACTCCAGATGTTCAAGGGACAAAGTTGCTTGTTCTGTGAACTTTGGCTCAATTATTTAGCTGTGATGTATAAAAACAAGAAACTGTAATGAATTATTCACTCCTTTTTCATGTAAAAGTTCACAGTCAACAACACAGAGTGAGGTTTGAATGCTGCAGAAGTCTGGTTACAGTTAGACAAGAGAAAAAAAATATTCTGATAATATTATTCATTCATGTCTTTAAGAAAACAAAAGGAATTGAGTGAGTGATCTATCGTGCATTTGTGACGGGCCCAGCGTGACACATTATGGTTTAACTCTGCCATACACTTCAAAAAAAGTCACTGCTTTTAGTTTAAATGCTTTTCACTCCCAGACTCTTACATCCATGTCCAGCATTTAATATTTCAAAAGCATGAGAGCGGCTTGGGGACACGTACTGTGGACTGCTGCCCCTCATGTAATTTCCCTGCTTTGCATTTTCTTCTGGTTCATGATAGATGGCCCCCCATTCCACTTCACTGGCCTCGCCTAATGCAATTTCACATTCTGCTAAGGTTGCACAAACACAACAATCCCTGGCAATTAAATCCACACACTCGTGGGTTACTTGTAGTTCTGCGTTACTCACCGTATACTGTGTATGTTTTAGTGGCTGAAATGCAGTGATCCGTCTTTCAGTTCTGGTTGATCATCAGAAAACATTTACTTCTGATTTAGTTTAAATAATAATAATATTTATATATTGCTACGTAAAAGCAGCATTCCATAGTATCTATTTTAAAAGGCAACAACAACAGAAAACAGTACATGTGACATCATGTACACAGGACGACGCAATCACAAATGTTTTACTTAGATTACTGTTTCAGTATCTTTGTTCACATCAGCTGATCAGTTGTGTTTCTGTTTCTGCTCCAACCAGAGCAAAAAAGTACATCATCTTGAAAATACGCCACATATTAGACCTAGAAAACTGCAGTAGTGTCTAAAAAAAAAGAAGACTGATATATGTAAAAATGTAAATAGATGAATGACATCATAATATTTAATGCTTTTGAGCAACATATCATAAATAAAGTTGCTCCTGGTCAAAACATTAATAACTACTACCATAACCATCTTCTATAGCTCAACGAAAACAATTTCTAAATATTAAAAAATAATCAACATTAAAATACTAATTAAAAAGTGTTGAGAGTGTCTCCTGGTCTATGGACCAGGTATATGAACCAACATAAAAGTGTTAGTTGTCACACTTAACTGATATGTGAATATAAATGATACATTCATCAAATAACAGTGAAGTACAACTACAACTGAGGGTTTCTGACTCTTCTCAAGCAGATACATTAGAAAAGCACTCAGCAGAGCAGATCATCAAGTTTAACCACCGAACAGCTTCCTTCAGTCACAGTGCAGCAACGACACTTGTGTCATGATGGACCTTCAGTCAAAGAGTCCAGACGAGTCCCTCAGCTCTGATAACAGCATCACTTTACCTGATAAGGCTCCTGCCAACTCTGGGAGCAGCCACACTCAGAGGGCCACAGGTCACAGCTCCCCCCCTTCATCCTCACCGCTGCCAAGTGGCTCTGGCTCCTGGAGGACATGCCTTCCAAATGGCAGGGTGCCATTCGACCCCCCTTTCGGGGAAGGGTGGCACCCCCGGGGACAGATCCGTAATAGTACCGCTGGCACGGCCGATGCTGGCGTTGAGTGCTGGGCTGCTGTAGCTGCCAGCTGAGGGAACACGGCACCTCCCCACACTCCCCTCTTTCATCCAGGTCCGCAAAGCAGCTCTGCTGTTTGCTCAGGTAAAGAGTCATGGTACCGGCACACAAACTAAGCTCTGCTTATTTCACCACTTTGTCTCTCCTGCTGCGTTTGGTTCCTCTGCAGTAGATTTACTGGTACGGTCGTCAAACACTGAACCAGCTCCCGCCTGATGTACGAGTAGCTCACTCTGGCAAGATTAATGATGAATGAATCAAGAGGCTTGCTGCTGTCGCTGTACAGAATACAGAGGGCGTGTGTGTGTGTGTTTGTGTGTGTATGTGACTGTGTGTCAGAGCTTCTGGAGTGGGAGAACGATAAATGAGAGAGAGAGAGGAAGAGAGAGAGGGGAGGGAGTAAGAGAGAAGGATGAGAGGATAGTGATGGTGGGAGACTTGAGGGGAAGTTAAAGGGCAGAACTCAATAAGGGAAGACCGGGGACACGAAGGAAGAAAAAGTATATATATAAAAAGAGAAGAGATG